TGTGTGTGTGTGTGTGTGTGTGTGTGTGTGTGTGTGTGTGTGTGTGTGTGTGTGTGTGGACTGGTATTCCCTACATTGTGGGATAGTTTTTTTGGCATTATATGGACTATGGTGGTGAGAATAGGGAGATGGAAGAGAACATGGTGAGTTTTTGGAGTATTTAGATTTTACCTTTATATTTTCCCTTAAAAATGCTTTAACCTGCCATGTGCTTTTTTGTTCAGTCTGCAACACACTAAATATTGCAAATCTAATTAATTTTTCCTGCACTTTCTGTTTCTCAATCACCTCCAAACATTCAGTTTTGGCATCTTAATTTTTTTTCCTGTAGATTTTTCACTTCTTTATAAAAAACAAGACTGGACAGGATGAGACTTATGGTGGATTTCAGTTTTTACACCAAACTACTGTGTTGCCTGCCACTGTATTGCACATCAGAAATAATGTCATTTAAAAAATGCGTTGCACACTATCATAACTCCAGTTTTATTTGGCAGATCAGAGCAATTTAAAAACTGAGGTAAAGTTTTTGTGCTCTCCTTTATACTAAAATTGAAGCAGTTAGATAAAATGTATTTTCCCGGTTAGAGTGATTTAAATGGGTCATGAAACCAGGATACAGTATGTGTGCAGGGACTCCAGAAATCTTAAAGAAGAGAAATGAAATTCAACTGATGTAAGGTAGAGTACATGTGTCTGACTGGGAGTGGGCGCGAGGAACAGAGAGATTACAAGAAGCATAAGGCACAAATTTAAAGGACCTCAAKTACTTAGGTTCAACTATTCATGTAAATGTACAGTTAATAACAGACAGGCACCTAGTACAGTCATGCTACAAGTAGTCTGTCCAAGACTATTGGAAGTGTGGTAAAAAGGTGCAGAAAGAGTCCCAGGAAGATGAACAAATAGGAGGTAACGTTAGAATGGCCGGATTAAGATGGTTTGGACATGTCCAGAGGAGTCACAGTTCGTATAATGATTTATGAAAGTTAACAATGGAGCTCCCAGTAAAAAGACAGAACAGAAGGCAATAGAGGACATTTGGATATGGAGTGACATTTTTCTGAGACCTAAATATAGTTAAGATATTAGGGTCTCAAGTAGACCTTATGTAAACTCTCTTCATGTTACAACGCTGTAATGCATACGTCAACAATGTGCTCAGGACGACATGGGCCAAGGTGGACATGTGTACATGGGCTTGGACCCCGGTCATAACTGCTTCGCAGTTCTAGTATATTTTGAAAATGTCTCATCAAGCTCAGAGAAGCTCTTGAGGTGTTGGTCAACATTTAAAGCAGTGATTTTTAGATGTTTCCCTGATTTGACACACCTGATTTGAATGTGTGAGTGATTAATAATCTTCTGAAGACCTGCTGAAGAGCAGGGAAACAAGTAAAACATGCTGGATCGGAGTACTTGAGGACCATGGTTGGGAACCACTGAATTACAGCAACATTAAAGCTCTGTGGCACATAACCATTCATTAGAGATAAATTAAGTACATCTAAAATATGGATTATAATTAAGGAAAATGCTTCTTTAAACAGCTCCACCTGTGTTGAAGTTCCTAGCTACACTGTTTTGAAGCAAAGGTCAAAGGTGAGACCTGCTGGACCAACTGGTGTCCTACAGACACTCAGAAACTCCTACAACATTCATTCTGACTTTGACTACTGAGTTTGTAGAAAACATTGATTTGATTTGATTTGATTTATTTAACAGGAAAAGATTACTAAAAATCAAGCCCGACTCAGCATAATTGCTGTTTTACAGCAGGTTCCTGTTCTGCAGCACATAAAACACTCAGAATTACAGCATCACAATCACACCATTGTACACCATAGACACAAAGACAAACAAGCATACCAAATTTCAGGAAGGCAGCATTTGCAAAATAGGACGTCTAAATATGAGCACAACAAAAAGTGTCCAGCAGATGGCAGACAAGATTCTTCTTAAAGGGCTGTAGTTTTGAAATGGACTTTATGTTTTGAGGAATGTCATTCCATGCTTTAGTATAAACATAGAAGAAAGACCTCTGGCCGTAACAGTTTTTAAAAGTTGGTAATATCAGTTGTCCTTTTGTAACAGATCTAGTTGAATGACCACTTCCAGAATTTGATTTGGGCAACAATGCACAGAGAGTTCCATAATTGGCACCTTGGAAGATCTGAAAATATAAATTAATACCACTATACAAAACATAATTCTGAAAAGTCAAGGCATCAGACAATGAAAGACCTGTACAGTGATGAGTCCAACCAGGAAGTTTTTTATGAATTTTGTAGGCCCTGTTGTAGAGCCTAACTATGGGTTCTAAGATTTCATTTGTTGTAAGAGACCAAACAGGTAAACAGTACGACATGGTTGAGAGTATAATGGCATGAAGATAGATATTTGAAACAGAAGATGTCAGATTGGATCTAATTTTTGAATAAACGTATAATTTCTGTTTCAACTTAGTGGTTAAGACTTGTACATGATCACGATAAGTCAAATGAGAATCCAAAGTAATTCCAAGATATTTGTAGGTAGTGACAATATCAAGGGGTTTGTTTAAAACAGTGAGTTGATTTGTTATATTGAAATGTCTCCTGGGTGAGGAAAAATACATGCACACAGTTTTTTTAACATTAATTGACAAAAGATTATCTTGAAGCCAACCATGAAATGTCTGAAGATCTGCTTGTAACTGACTATTAAAATATTCAGTATTGAAATCAGACAAAAAAAGATCAGTATCATTCAACACACCCCACTTCACATCTGAACATAGAAATGTGGGGGAAAGAGCTGAGCTGACATTGAACACATGTTGAATCAAACATTTAGACTGATTCGCTTACATTTGAGACAGCATTTAGAGACAGCTCACCTCAATGATGCTGGACACACACCGAAGTTAAAGTTAATAATCGTTTCTTTTGACAGGTCACTGTCAAAAGACACACAGCTAGATCCAGGTCCAGGCTCTGCTCCAGGTCCAGGTCCAGGCTCTGCTCCAGGTCCAGGTGTGCTCCTGTGAATACAGTCAGAGTGTTGATGCTGAGCTGTGTCATGGAGCAGAGTGGTGGACAGGTACAGGTGGTCTCTCACCTCTGAGTGGTTTTAGAGTGAGGGGCTCTCTCCTCTCTGTCCTCACACTGATCCATGCTGCTGAATTCACTGAATCCACATCAGCTCACACACACTTTCTACCTTCACCTGCAGAGGAAACACATCATTCACCTTTCCATCATTTGTGCTGTAAACAGATCAGCTGCTCCTCCTCTGATTGGCTCTTGGTCTCTGTTTCATCCCAGGTGAATGCAGTCAGACAGCAGAGTGAGGCAGCGGAAGCTGCAGCTGCTGCTCAGTCTGTAGGAGCCCAGCCGCTCTCACAACCAAACCAAATAAAAACAGTATCCTGAGAAATATTGGATTTTGCTCAATTATAAATAAAAAAAGGAAAAGGTTTTTCAAACAGACAAACAAGAAGACTGATACAGCTGGACTGAGACTGAGTCTCCACCTGTGAGGTGGTGGAAAGAGAGGGACAGATTTAGACTCATAAGGACAGGTGGGAAGATGAAGGTGAAGCAGAGTGGAGAAGCATGTTGTGTCACTTGGGGGCCAGATCCATACTAGAGCCATGACATCGATTGTTATAACCCCCCACACGAGTATCGGAGGTCGTGTTGTTTTCGTAATGTTTACTTATTTTTTAATTATTTTGTGATAGCACAAAAATGGCCGTACTGATCAACATGAAATTTGGCAGGAATGTAGATGAGTCTGACCTACACTGCGCCAGCCAACGGTTTTACGAAAGACCCCATATTTGAGGAGGGGGCTCCGTCCAAAAAGGGGGTGTCTGAACATGCAAAAATGCTTATAACTCACAAACAGTGCAACATAGGAGCTTCAGATATTTTTTGTTGTTTAGCTCTGGTGAAGGGCTATACATCAGGCCCACCAATCAGTGGCCCCGCCCCCTCCAAA